CTGGGGGTGGGCCTGAGGAGCCGGGGCGGTGCCACAGGACTAGCCTTGATCAGTGTCCTCGTGCCCCCCCTGCCTTGTGTCCTGTGATTCCCCAGAACCCTCTCCCACCTGCCCCCCAGGCCTCAAACCTCCCTGAGCCTCAGCTCCCTAGGCACAATAACGGATACACGGGCTGGCCTTGGGATGGTGTACTGGCCGAGGTCGGGTAGGACTTGCCCAGGTCACTGTCCCTGAGGACCCTGCCCAGAGCTGGGGGCTATGTGACCCCTCACGGCTGGCCTGTGGCTCCTGCGGTTGCCCCATTACAGGAGAGGATGCAGAATGGAGTGGGGTGGCATCCGACCTGGGGCTCCCCCAGCCGCCAGGGAAGGCACATTGGGGTTTTAGCTCCATGGCTCCCAAAGGCTGGCGCAGGGTGGCAGGAGGGTCGGGTGGGGAGAGCGTGCACCCCGCTGTGCGGCCCCAACCCCGGTGCACGAATCCCCCTCTGCCCCTCTCTGTCCTTCCTCCCCGTGGAGGTTCTCTCTCGGCCCTCGCTTGGCCTCTTGGCCTTCCCTCCCTCCTTTCTGGCTGGTGCCTCCTCCCATCTCCGTGGTGGGCCAGGAGCGGGCAGTAGATGGGGCCACCCCACCTCCCACACTCAGCACCCACACCACCTGGCCGTCGGGGCCTCCTCCCCTCTGCTGCTGGGGACAGTGGGACAGACGGTGCAGAGTGAACAGCCCGGGAAGGACAGGGTGGGAGGGGACATGTGGGAGGAGACACATGGGATGGACACTGTGGGAGGGGACACATAGGAGGAGACACATGGGATAGACAGCATGGGAGGGGACTCTGTGGGAGGGGACACATGGGAGGAGACACATGGGAGGAGACACATGGGATAGACACCGTGGGAGGGGACACTGTGGGAGGGGACAGTGTGGAACAGACAGTGTGGGATGGACAGTATAGGACGGACAGTGTGGGAGTGGACACGTGGGAGGGGCTGCCGAGCCTCCACAGTACCCACGCCCCTGGAGCACCCCCTGTCTGCCCTGTCCATCCCTTCTCTTTGTTGTTTTCCCTCCACTTCTCCTTCCTATTGGCCATCATCCCATTCCCTTGTCCCATCGAGTCCTGTCCCTTCTGTCCCCCTCCTATCCCTGTCTGTCCCATTGTTTCCCACCCCATCCCCATCCTACTCTTGTCCCTGTCTCCCTCCTATCTTGTCCTGTCATTCTATTCCCATCACTGTCCCTGTCCAGCATTCCATCCTGTTCCCATCCTAGCCCTGTCCTGTCCCTATCTGATCCCCATCCCATCCTGTCCTGTTCCCATTCCATCTTGTCCCTGTCCTCGTATCTACCTCTCCCTGTCCCTGTCCGCATCCTATTCGCATCCCATCCTGTCCTGTCCCCACCCTGTCCCCATCCTGCCCTATCTAATCCCCAGTTCATCCTGCCCTGTCCCCATCCCATCTGTCCCTGTCCTCATCCTGTCCCTCTTCCTGTCCCCATCCTATCCCCATCCCATCCTGCCCTGTCCTGTCCCTGACCTGTTTCTGTCCTTTCCCTATTCCAGTCCTGTGCCTCTCCCCATCCCTGTCCCCATCTTGTCCCCATCCTGCTCTATCTGATCCCCATCCCGTCTCTGTCCCCATCCTATTCCCATCCCATCCTGCCCTGTGCCCATTCTATCCCTATTCCCATCTCTTCCCTGTCCCTTCCCTGTCCCTGCATACCCTCTTTCTGCCCTCATGGGGACACCTTGTCCCTTACCCCCTCTTCTTTGTCCTGCTTCACTCTCTCTCACTTTTTTTCTCTCTCTTTATCTCTTTCTCCCCCCACACCTGCTAGGAGGTATTTTGGGAGCGTCTCACAGCCTGCTGGGCACACGGCCCCCTGGCCCCCAGCCTCACCTCAAGCCCACCTCAGGACCTCTCCCTTCCTAGGTGGGCAGCACCCTCCCCACCGCGTTCTCACCTTCCAGGGCCCACGAACTGATCCCACGCTCTCCCTGTCCCCGGGGGCTGCCCAGGGCTTCCCCCAGCCCCAGCTCACACTTGCCCCAGGACACCTGTGTAGGTTGGACCCCAGCCACCAACCTGTGCTGAGCCACTCTGAGATAGACGAGGTGCTCCTGGGAGCCATGCCCTCTCTGGCCACCCTTCAGGGCCCAGGAGCCACGGGGTGCCCTCTCGAAGCTCTGGCAGGGGCTTGGCGGGGGCAAGTCCTCAGGTGCCTGGTGCACCCAGGCTGCTGCTCGCTCACCGCCCTGTCCTGCTCTGGTTCGCAGGATGGGACTGCAGCCTGAACCTCAGTGCTCTGGGCTCCGGCCCTGACGCCCTGCCCAGGGGGCTGGGCCACTCAGTCCCCGCACCCCCGCGATGCCAGCTCGCCGGGGTTCCTGGCGCAGCTCTGGCCGACAGACTGCCTGGTCCCAGGGCAGCACCACCCACCAGACACCCAGGCTCTGCCAGGGCGAGGGCCAGCCCCCCTCCCATCTGGGGCCCTGGGTGGGCCCGAGGCAGCCACACCCCCTTGGACACTGGTTTGGAGGCCTGGCTCCCCCCCCTCCGCCACCACCCGCCCTGCCGCCACCGCCTCGTTGGGCTGGCCCGTCCTTTGCCCTGCTGGCCACACCAGGGTCCCCAGAGGCCTCCTAGACCTGGCTGCCCAGGGTGGGAGGCCAGGCACGGAGACTGCCGTCATGCCTGCGGTGGATGTGTGCCCAGAGCGGTAGAGCGGTGGGCAGAGGGGCTTCACCAGGGCTCCCCCGGCCCACCGAGCCTCTCCAGGGGGACTGGGGTCCCGAATACCAAGAGACACTGCAGAGTGACCCCTGCAGCCCTTTCGGTCTGTGCCAGCCAAGCCCCCACTCCACAAAGCCAGGCCCCCAAAGACCACTCAACCAGGTGGGCGGCCCAGAATCTGGGAGGTGAGGGGCTCAGGGTCTCCTTGCTGCCCCCAGCTCACTCCTAATATCAGCCTGGCCCAAGCTGTCGATCACCCAGGGGCATAGGAGGGAACCACGTGGGGAGGGACAGAGCCGGCCTGGGGGCACTGCAGAGGGGGGTCCCTGGCCGTTCCTGCCACCTGAAGCATCTTCCTAGGCTCTGACAGCTGGTGAGGACCCACATGGGCAGCCACAATGATGGTGCCAAGGTTAGAGGGTGCTACGGGTGGGCACGGGGACAAGTCCCCCCTCCTGGGCCCGTTTTTAATGGACTTAAACTGGATTCAATTTACACCCGGCCCTGCTGGCTTCCACATGAGCTTGTCACTAAGAGGCGCCGCACCCTGCCCCTGGCGTCCCCCTTCCCACCCCACACCCAGGCGGCCCCCCAGCGAAGTGGGGGGACGGTGGGCACGGGTGCCCCAGGGCAAGTCACCAGCCTCACTGAGCCTGGCTTTCTGTTCGTCAAATAGGCACACAGGGCCGTTTGCCCAGGCTTCAGGAAGTGCGGCCTGTGAAATGCAGGACAGGTGCTGATGTCAGGGAGGGTGGCAGGGATGCCAATGGCCACCTGGCCACCTGTGGGTGGCTCACACCTGTGAGCGTCACCATGTGAGCTGTGTGGTTCGCTCACCACAGCTGGACCGGACCCCCTGGTGTTATTCTCTGAGAGACTCTCTCTCCCTTGCCCCCCACCTGGCCCCCCAGCCGCAGGATTTTGTGGGGAGCTCAAAGGGATGCTTCCTTCTCTCTCTGGCCCACTGGCCTCTGCAGGGCCTCTGGGTGCCCAGCACTCGCTCCCCCCGTGGACTCTATGACTGTCCTCCTGGGCCTCAGTTTCCCCATTTGTTAAGCAGCACTGATGAGCCTCTGGGATTGACCCGGGCACCAGTAAGTCCTTTCTGGAGGGGGACCACAGCAGTGACTGCTGGGAGGACACATCCCAACTGGGCAGGAGGAGGAGCCCTGCCTGAGGGTCCCCTGGTTAGCAGCGCCAGGACCCAACAGGTGTGAAGTCAGGAACTGACTCGCAGGCTCACGTCATGAATGGACAGGGTGGGGCTGCAAGGGAGCATGGCCCGCGGGGGCCCCACACCCAGCTGCTGGTCCCAACCCCAAAGGGTGGCCCGTGGGCCGTGCCTGGGTGGGGCCAGGGGCGAGCCGTCACTCAGGGTCTGAGGGCCCCAACCAGCCAGAGCCGAGGGGCCCGGGGCTGCTCTCAGCCCACCTGAACACCTTGTCTCTCCTTCCTCCCAGAATCAGGACGTGGGCACAGCTGGGGATGCTGACATGCCTGTCCCTCCCTCCAGGAGCATGCAGTCTGCAGCATGCTCCGGGCTGTCGAAGGAGAAGCCAAAGCAGGCTGCATGGAGGAGGCAGTATTTCAGCTGGGCCTTCGATGCCTGGAAGGGTAGAGGAGGAGGAAGAGCATTGCAGGCGGCTCAGAGTGATGTGATGAGCAGCCTGTGGCATGGCTCTGAGCCCGCCTCTGGCCTTTTGCTTCTGCTCTCTCTCTCCTCCTCTTCCAGGTAGAGGTACCACCATGCCACTGCTTTACAAAGGAGGAAACTGAGGGCCAGAGATGCTAGGGTCCTGGCCCAAAAGCCTGAGATGCTGGAGCCAGGGGTCCAGCCCGGGGACGACCTGACTCTGAGGCCCAAGCACTCACCACAGCCCCGCGGCACCTCCCATGCAGGGCTGGTGTGCTAAGGGGGGTGGTGAATGTGGCCGCAAAGTCCGGCGTCATCATCTGTAAAGCAAGGGGTGACAGGGTGGTCGCCAGGGGCCAGCGGGAGCTCAGGCGAGGCCCAGGGAGCAGGGCTGAGGACCCACTTCCTGCAGCGGGCCTGGGCAGAGGCCCCGGACCAGGGGAAGGTGCCCGGGGAGAGCAGCCCTGCCCAGGCCGGCGGGCGGGTGCGCAGGAGGGAAGCAGAGCGCACAGGGCCGCCCGGCGGGAGGACGACGCGGCCTCCTGCACACCCGCGCACCTGTGCCACAGCCCCCCGACTGCCCGGGGTGCCCGGCCCTGCCCGCCCTGCCCCCGCCTGGGCCAGGGCACCTACCTCACCAGCTTCTCCAGGCCCCGTTGGCTGGAACTCCTCCTCAGGAGGGCCGAGCCGCTCATGCTGCAGGCGGCCCCGCCGGCCGGCGACCTGGCCTGACCCCAGCCCTGGGGACGCTGCTGCTCCTTCTTCAAAGGCCGCCGGCCTCTGTCTGCTGGCCTCCCCCTGCTCCTCCTCCTGCCACCAGGACCCCTCTCCCCCTCCTCTCTCCTTTCTCTCCCGGCCCCCGCCTTCGCGCCCTTGTCTGTGTCCCTGGATCTGCGCTGTCTGTCGTCTGTCTGGCCGTCTGGGCTCTCTGGCTGACGCCCCCTCCCCGTTGGCTCGCCCCGTCTCCCTGTCTGTGGCCTGCTCTGTCCACCCTGGGCCCTCTGGCCCCGGCAGGGGCGGGGGGGGGGCCTCCTGGGCCAGCTCCCCGATAGTTGCCCCCCGGGCGTCTGGGTGCCCGTCTGTCCCCGTCTGGACGGCCTCACGGACTCTGTGGGTCTCTCCTTCAGGACGTTTAGCAGCTGCTTCCCTTTTGTTCCCCCCAGCCCCCCTCTCCCCCCTCGGCCTCCTCCCCCTCCCCCTCCCCCTCCTTCCGAGACTAGTAAAAATGTCAGAGAGAAAACCCTCCAGCCCCACAGCCCTGGGGCTTAGCAGGACCTCAGCGGCCTGGGACGGGCACAGTCTTCCCTCGGCGGGCGCCCTGGCCTCACTCCACTCTCCCCCTGCAGCTCATCCCCACCACTTGCGGGGCATCCAGCCCCCCCCATCTGCCTCTCCATCCCTTTGTGCCTCTCCCCTCACCCTGGGCCTGCCCTGGCCAGCCCTCTGGCCCTCCTCTTGTCCTCGCCTTTCTGGATCTCTTGGGTCAAGCCCCCCCTGCCCTGCCCTGCCCCCCCCCAGCCTAGCCCTCTGCTCCCTCCCTGCAGGCCCCCAGACCCTCCCTGCTCCCACACTCAGACCCTGTCTCCTCTCCTCTCCCTCTGTGTCTCTCTCTGCCCCTATCTCTGTGCCCCTCCCTCCCCCTCACGCCCTCCCCCTCCTTTCCTCTCCCCTCCCTTCCTCTTCTCCCTCTCTCCCCTCCCTCCCTCCCCCTCCTTCCCTCCCCTCCCTCCTGGTTCTCCAGTTTTCCCCTGTTTATGCCCAGCTCTCTGCTCCACTTATCACCTCGAGGGGGAATCCTCTCTGCTCCCCCAGTGGGGAGGCTGCTGCCCCCCCAGCACATGCCTGGCCACACTGGGAGGTCAGAGCAGAGACACCTCCAAGGCACAGACTAACACGGCCTGCCCTGTTGGGTAGCAGAGAGCACGCTCCCAGGGTGGCTGGTGGGCACAAGGTCAGTGTGGTGCCCTGGCCGGCGGGCCCCCTGCCCCCTGTGCTCTGGCCAAGGCCTGGGAGGTGCAGCCCAGCCCACTGTTCCTCCGGTTGGGCTTAGTCGCCATGACTCACTGGAGAACGCTCGCGGGCAAGTGACCGGACAAGGCGGGTACTGGACTCGTGTCTGCAGGGCGTCACCAAGCCCAGCTCAGTGCCCAGCAGTTATGTCCAGCAGCTTGCCCGGCTCGCCAACCCTCACAGCCACCGCACCTAGGTCCTGTGTGGGGAAACCGAGGCTCAGACAGGTATCCAAGTTTGCAGAGCTGGGGCTGATGGAGCCGGAACCACGAGCCTGTGTGCTGACTGCCTGCCCAGAATGCCCTCCATCCCCCATAGCACAGAGGAACGGCCCCTCTCACTTCCCCAGCTAGCATGACCTCAGGCTAGGCCAGGGGACCAGGGCTGAGAGCACCTGGGGGATGCGAGACTGGACCAGGGGAGGCTAAGATCAGGTAGGCAAGTGTTGCACCCATAGTCACTGTGCAGGCCGTGCGTGGTGCAGTGGCAGCCACATGGGCCCATAGCTCAGATCCGCAGTGACTCAGATGGTGGCTGGCTGGCACAGCCTCGTGGGGGTCACGAAGTCTGGCTCTGATTCCTCCCTCACCCTCCACATACCAGGTGGGGTCCTGTGGCCAGTCCTGGAGGGGAGCTCACAGCTATCCCCTCCCACAACCCTGGGGGCATCCAGAGAATGTGGGAGTGTGCCACAGAGGCAATGGTGCCCACCAACCATCCCCAGCATCCATCCAGAGCTGCAGATGCCTCAAGATTCTAGTGGAACACGGAGGAGGGAAAGGGGAGCAGGACCACCAGGTTGGCCCTCAGGTTGAGCCAGATCGCCCAGAGGAGGTGAGACTGTGCCTCATTTCCATCTCAACCTGTGCATCTCCCCCTTGCCTCTTGCTCTTGGATCTGGAATCCCAGTCAGAGAGAGCCAGAAGGAAATTGTGCCAAAGCATATTTTTGTTTAAAAGAAGAAAAAATTTCACCCATCACCCATCTATCATCCATCCATCAACTCATTACCCATCCACCCATCATCCATTTATTATCCACCCATCCATCCACCTATCTGTCCACTCCCCATCCATCCATTCTCCCATTCATCATCTACCCATCCACCCATCTACCCATTAACCAACCATCCATCCCATCCATTCATTCGCCCACCCATCCATCATCCATCTGTCAACACTTTATCCACCCACCCATCCATTCGTCTATTCACCTTCCATCTATTCATTCACCCATTCATCATATATCCATCCATCCATCCATCCATCCATCCATCCATCCATCCACTCATTAACCACCCACCCATCCATCATCCATCATCTATTCATTTACCCACCCATCCATCCATTCACCCATTCATCATCTATCCATCCATCCACCCACCTACCCACCCATCCGTCCATCATCCAACTATCATCTACCTATCCATCCATCCATTTTCCATTCATCATCCCATCCATCTATCCATCTATCCACCCATCCACCCACCCATCCATCCATCTGTCCACCCTCCATCCATCCATTCATCATCTATCCACCCATCTATCTATCCATGCATTTATCCATCTATCTACTCATTAACCACCCATTTATCCATCAACCATCTATCATCCATCCATCCGTCCATCCATTCATCCATTCACCAATTCACATATCCATCCATCATCCATTTATCATCCATCCATCCATCCATCCATCACCCATTCACCCATCCTTCCATTCATCATCTATCATCTATCCATTCATCCATCCATTTTCCATCCATTATCCTCCCATCCATCCATCCACCTACCCACCCATTCATCCATCATCCATCCATCCACCCATTCATCCAATCATCCATCCATCTACCCATTCTTCCATCCATCTGGCTATTGATCCAGTCATCTGTCCACCCCCATCCATCCATTCACTCATTTATCATCTATCCATCCATCCATCTACCCATTAACCAACCATTCAGTAATCATCCACCCATCCATTCATCCATCCATCTACTCACCCATCCATCCATCATCCATCTATCATCTATCCATCCATCTGTCCATCCTCACTCCATCCATTCACCCATTCATCATCTATCCACCCACCCATCCATCCATCATTCATCTATCATCTATCTATTCATCCATCCACCCATCCAACCATCTGTCCACCCCATCCATTCATTCACCCACCCATTCATCATCTATCCATCCATCCATCTACCCATATATCACTCATCCATCCATCCATTCATCCATTCACATATTCATCATCCATCCATCCATTCATTCACCCACCCATCCATCATCCATCTATCCATCCTCATTTATCCACTCATTCATCCATCCTCCCTATATAGTTATCTGTCTTTCCATGCATCATTATCAATCCATCAACTTCTCAGGATATGTATCCATTCAATTATCCATATAAACACGATATATCCTTCCATCAATCCATTCAAGCATTTATCAATACATATATACCCATGTCTATTCATCTCTCTTTACATTTCTTCATTGAGCAAGTATCCACCCATCTATTCATCCACATACTCATCCATCCCTCCATGCATCCACTCACTTCTGACACCCACTCATCCATCTGTTTATCTAAATGTCATAATACATATAAAACACTTAGAAGAACCACTCAGCTAGCCATTCCACCCACTGGAAACATAATTATCACTAAATATATAATAATTACTCTTATGTATATATTCAACCACCAATTTGTATATCTATTTGCCTAGTTATCCAACCTGTGAGCTGTTTATTCTTTAAAACATCCTTCTATCTCTCAAAATATTTTTTGTCCTTACTTTCATTCATCTCTCCAAATATTTTACTACTGATCAATCACATTCACACACACATTCATATGTCTGTCCATCCATCCATATGTCCATCCATCTTCCCATCTAGCAAGTCATGTATATGTGCATAAATTCATACATGTTTATCTTTCCATATATATATTTGCCCATTACTTTGCCCATTAAGCCATTCAAATGAGTTAAAACTTAAAATAGTTGCTGCAACCTAGTAAGCCTTCCATAAAGATTACTATTATTTTTATCTATACATTCACTCATCCGTATCTCATCCAACTATCAATTTATTATATTTATCTTATTATAACTCCATTTATAACAATTTATAACATCATAAATAACAATTTATTATAACTCCATTTATATTCATATATTTATTCATCTATCCATATATTTTTCAACAAACTTATTGAACACTTACTGTACCCACTTTTTAGGTACTGCAAATTTAGCATTAACAAAACCATGCTCTCACAAGGCTGACACTTTAGCTGGAGCAACAACAAAAATAAACAAGTAAGTACATACTGTAATATATCAAATGGTGATAAAACTATAGAGAATATAATTCAGAGTGGGAGGATATGGAGTCTTGGCAGAGATTGATATTTTACATATGATAGTCAAAGAGAGCCTCATAAAAAGGAATAATCTTTTCCTTATTTGAAAAGAAACTTGAGAAATATTTAAGATAGCTATATACGCTGGTAGGAGGAAGTGTTCTAGAAAGAGAGAAGAGTGAGTGTAAAATTCCTGGCTTAGGTGCTTCTCTGTTCATCAATCTGCCTCTTCAATAGTTTATCCAGCACCAATCGTATGTCTGTTTACTATCATCTTTCTATTTATCTATCACTTCCTGTATTTCTCAGTCTGTCCATCTAAAAATCTACCCATTAACCATATCCATCCACATGTCTTGATAAACTTCTATTAGTCTATCCAATCATTTATTTGTCAGCATTCCATCAATTTACCCATCAGCCTACCCATACTTTCATTCCATATGTCCATTCACCAGTTAATCCATCCATCCACCCACCCATCTATCCATCCATCCATCCATCCATCTCTCTGTCCACCCACCTACCCATCCACTCAACCAATTATCCAACCATCCATCCACATATCTATCCATCTGTCCATCATCCATCTATTCATTCATTCACCCATCTACTCACCCACCACCCATCATCTGTCCACCCACCCATCCATCTCTCCATCCATCACCCACCTATTCATCCATCCATCCATCCATCTATCCATCATCCAACCACGCATCCATTTACCCATCCATCCTCCCATCCATTCACTCATCTATCCATCTACACAT